AGAAAACTGACACTGTGAATTGTGTAAATCTCTTTCTCATAAAGCTTTTTTTTACAAATACCACACCAAATATCTAACTACACATTCACAAATCATTTTAGGTGTTTGTGGTGTTGTTCCAGCAGTGATTAATAATGTGGCCACAGTTTAGCTGCTGGTGTACTCTTGTTTACTTTGACGTGTTTTGGTACATCAGCAAGTACCCCTCCTTTCAAACTACAGGACATACCAGGTAGTAGCATACCACTTGGGATTCCTGTATAGTATTTATAAAATTATATTTCTAATTTCAAAACCTAAAAAAAAAAATAAATTCCCCCTCCTAACAGACCATATGGAAAGTTGTATTTTAGACTGTATGTCTGTGCTTTGGGGTGAAACTATTGTAGCATTACTGCAAGTTATCCAAAATCAAATCACTACAAACCAAAGAAAATCCAAGTAATGACATTTTTTAAAAAAGTGAACTAATTAGTACTTGATACCCCCTTCAACAATTATAACCTTCAAGCCATTGAAATAAAGATACCCTATTATTTACATTATGTGTTATATGTATGGCAGTGTCAAGCTAGCAGAGGTGCTGGAAAGTCTCACAGCTGTTAGGCCAGACTTCTTACTAAGCTGTACCTGGGATTCCTCAAGGCTATCCCTTCCTGTGCTTTTGGCTTCTGCAACCCACAAAAGTCAAGGTGGTACCTTAGCACACCACTCATTTACACAGTATTGATTTTCAGAGGTTCCAGTGATTGCAGTAACAAAAAATAAAATGATCAGTAACTTGCTCATACTCAGTCACTCGGTCTTACTTCCATTTTAGTTTAGGAAAGGAAACAACTAAATAATTATAATCCTACAGATGTGTGACATTTTTAAAAAACCTATATACATTTGAAAAAAAAAATCCAGAATTATTTACAAAGCTTCTACCTTTTCGAATATTATTCAATATTTGCCTTTTTAAGGGTGTTTCTATTTGTAAGCCAACAGAAATGTGTATTTTTCTGTCACTGCTAGTTGTTTATAAAAAAAAAACCAAACAACAGGTAAAATAAATTATAATGCATATCTTTATATTCATCGCAGTATTTTATAGTTTATCCTCATTACAGTGTGCTTCTTCCCTAGTCTGCTCTGTGTTTCGGACAGATCAGGATTCTGTTGCAGCATGAAGATATTGGTTACTTCTGACTTTCATCACACAAGATAAGTTATGAAAACTGTGGCTGCGTGTTGAATGCACTTCCCTGTGACTGCTCTACACCTTCTATTCTTTTAGAGGCAATGAAAAAGTGGAGGTAGAGTTATTTAATGACCAGCTAAAGCTTGAGTGGTGCATAAAGAAATCTGTGGGGCAATTATTTTATTGCAATTCAGTCTCTTCTAGGATCATATACTCAGTAAGGAATTCATTTATGACATATGATAACAATTACAAACATGCAATCTTTAAGGAGACAAAGATGTGGACATCAAATACCAAATTGCTTAAGTGCAGAAAACCATAATGCTCTTAGAAAAGCCTAGCACATTCATTAAGCATCATGCTAGGCTATATTTACTGGAAATATTTCAGCTAAGCATTCAGTGGGAATTATTTCTGGCATAATAAACTACCTATAAGTTATCATCTTCATATAAATAGCATTTAGGACACTTCAGACATAATTTGATAAATTAGACATAAGATTTTGATAAATAAGACATAAAGATTCTTCTTTAACCTAAGTTAGATTTCATCCTTCCTAAATGTTCAGGATGTGTAGGTGTGGAATGGATGAAGAGTCATATGTAACACACCAAATGGCTCTGGGATGAAAAAAAATCACAGAACAAGCATTTCAACGTCAGTCAAGATGGCAATACTGGGAGCACTGCTATAGTGCATAATCAAAGCAAAAACAGTTAACTGCCAGTATTATTTCAAATAGAATGCCAGTATATTTTTCTGTCAGTTTAACCTATATTACTGTCAAATGTCTCAATTCTAATTGAAAATAGATTAACAAACCATATGTAAGTAGCATATCCCCTTTTCTGTTTGCATATCCCATGACAATCTATGTATTTTTTACAAGAAAACTACATAGGTGTTTCTTAAGATTACAACTGAAATGCACCAAGTTCTTTTAACCCTATTGCTTAAAAAAGTCTATTCAAGATAGCTGCGAAGACCCAGTGTGTACATCAGTTGTCTGAAGATGACATAGATGGCATTCATATCGATGTAATATGCACTGGTGAAGTGTTTCTGTTCTCTGTGAAGAGAATCATATTTCTTTTTGTGTCAATGCCAACTGAAGTTTTTTCAACTGCCTGCTTATATATTACACTCACCCTCCCCCTCAGTTGAGGTATTACTTCTCTCAGTGCCATGGTGCAGCAGGTCTGACTTAAGAACTGACACAGGTTCAAAGAAACGGTCTTTCTTGATACATTGTATCTAACCGGAATGACTTCCCCTGGCAGGGCTCTGGCCCAAGAAGTGGTGTCAATGTAACTGAATGTCTGGGAATGAGGTGCCGGAGGCAAATGGGGTGGCTACTTAAACTGACATTGCTCTTTCAGTTTCACTATTCTTTACAGAACTTCCTCACCAAGGCAAAAAACCCCAAACCAGTTAAAAAGTAACTGCTACTGAACAATTAGATACTTCCTTGAACCTGCAGGACATATCAACAGGTTGGACATTTCAGTTTAGAGAGAGAAGATGCCCCTGGGTCATTCTGATGGCAGCAAAGTGCCTGGATTTCAAACCTCTGCTCTGAGCCATATTATGTAAATCATGGCAATCATAAAGAACCCTGACCTGTGCAGTCATCTTATAGACTGTGTTTGGTCTTAGTGTTTGAAATTAAGTTGGTTCATATCAGGGACTGATACCAATTTAATTAGAACCCATTTTAGGTAAAGTGATGCACTTTTGTAACAGTTGTTTTGGCCTCAGCTAACAAATACAGAACCACAACTCTGCCACAGCCAGAATGCAACACTTCCTCTTCACTGCCCTCCTCTTCCAGCCCACCACCTTCAAGAAGCTGTATCAAGAGCTGAAGCTGGTCAATTGTCCTTATACCATGGCGGACTAAATCCCTTTGCAGTTCACTCACTCCTCTGACACACTTCATTAAGTTATCGAGAAACAAGGAGTAAACAGTAATGCATTCTTAGTTGAACATTTCAAAGCTGCTTATGATTTACTTCAAAACCAATAGAAAAGAACTACTTTGCCAAATCCACACTGTCAGAGTTCAATCAAAATTCTCAGCTTGTTTATAAAAAATTCACTTCAGGGGTTTCCATTATTTACCATACTCATTCAAAATTTTGTCCTGTTTGTAATCAGACTTATATCTTTAAAAACATTTGTGAGGTCCTACCATTATCAAAAGCACTACTTTTGGCTTTTTGAGTATACTAAGCAAAGATGGAATTTCTTTCAAAGGCTTCAGCAGTTATTCTCAGTAGTTTTAGACTTACCTGCTTATTTGATTATCTTATTGTTCTATCAAATATTTTCTAATTGACCAGAGGTTTTGTAGAAAAGCACTTCATTTGATGAATGGGCATATTGTACTTAATGGGTTAGCTGTCAAATCAGAAAGTTATTAATCACGGGAAGAGAAACTCCTATTTAAACCCCTGAACATACACATAAAGTATATGCAACAAACAAAAGGAGGGAAGCAGAACTGAAAACAGGAAGGGGGTGTTGCTCAATATTTCAACAAAGGAAATGTAGGATGATAACTGTAAACTTGTGTAAGTATTAGGGACATGAAAAATATTGTATTCTTTGCACTACATTGAGATTCTGATTGTGTTAAATAACTTCTATGAGTCAAATTAACAAACTTACATGCTTAAAGGCAAAAACCTTTTTCTTTTTTTTTTTTTTTTTAATACAGGAAATTAATAACCAGGTTCTCTTCATTCTATGACTAAGACCTGCACAGACATATCACCAATCCTGACACACACATCCTCCAATTCTTCAATCACAATGAGTCATGTGAAATTAACTTTGTTTTTTCATTCTTATTTAGCACACTGTTGAATAGCTTCTCACAGAAAAAAAAAAAAAAAGTACAAATAGGTTAATATGTAACTTCAGAATCTAAGTAGAAAAACGTATAGACACACAATCTAAAATATACAGTTGTATAATTCCTTCTGACACTTCTTTGTGAGGTACTGAACAGCAGAAGGACATACGATGTTAAAAAACCTCTTGTAAGAGGGTCTAGGGCACAAGCATTTATGGCATTTAATATTAAAACTGAGAATACGGGCTTTACACTTCCTGGAACGAGAAACGCTCAAACATATAGTACAAACCAAACATGACTCAGGACATTTGAATGTATGCGGTGGCAGCAAGTGGGGAAATAACGCGTACAGCTCCCGCTGGTTATCCCCTGACAACTTCTGATTTATTTAGCAGAATGAACACAAAACACAGTGTCAACAGGCAGTATTCCGAATGACTGTTGCATGGGACGTGCTTTCAGTAACAAGAAGTTATAAATGAGCTGTGGGCACTGGTTTCGCGGACGGCTGTCCCACCGCCCGGCTGCTGGCCGCTCCCTCAGCCTTGCACCTCGCCAAGGAGACATCAGCAGCCTGCGCGGCTCCCCCTTTCCCGGGGGCAGTTCGGGGAAAGCGCCGGCCTCACCTCGGATGTGCCCTGCGGGGAGGCCGCCCGCCCTTATCGGGACGGAGAGCGGCTGGCACCGCGCCTCTGCTATCGCACACCTGGAGTGCGAGCCCCGTCTACAGGGTGGTGCCGCTGATGGCACACGGCCCGTCCGGAGCCGAGGCAGCCCGGCGCCCGCGGCTGTTGGCCAGCTCCGCACAACCTACGTAAACTGCCCACCAACCTACGCCCCCCCACCCAGCGCCTAGCTGGCCCGCCCTTCCCCCACACCAGACGGCTCGTCCCGCCCCCCAGCCAATGAGAGGCGCTGCCGACAGCCTCGCGGCGACTGTTGGCCAGCGCGCCAGCCGTTGGTAGCCCCGCAGCCAATCGCCGGCCAGCTTGAGCCCCGGCCCCTCCTCCTTCCGCGGCCGCTGGGGCTGGGAGTCACCGCAGACGCCATTTCCTCAGCGCCCCCGCGGCGGCGCGGCTGCATCAGCGCTGACGTGAGACCGACGTGCGGCTCCGCCCGGCCCAATCCCCCCCACCCCTTGTGACGGGGGCACCACGTACAGGGCGGCGGGTGAGTGCGGGAGGGGGCGGGGACACGTGTGCGCGCAGCCCGACCCCCCGCGGGCCGGGAGCGGGGGAGCGCAGCGGGCAGCGGCGAGCTCCGGCAGTGCGGAGGGCAGCGCAGCGCCGTGCAGGGCAAGGGCGGGTAGGGGGGCGCTCTGCCGTGCGACTTCGTTCAGCCCCTGCCGTCGGGAGCGCGCAGGACGGGGCGGAGGCGCGTCCCCGCCGCGGCCGGGAGCGCGCTGCACTTGGGAAGGGCCGCGCAGGGCCCGCCTGCCTCTCTCGCTTACCCGGCTCGGCTCGGCTCTGGCTGATGGCCCCGAGACGTGAGGAGCTCGGGAAGGGGACGTGCGGGGTCTCCTGCTCCGTTACAGCCCGGGAGCCGGCAAGCTGCGGCTCGGGCCCTTTCTCCGGGGCGAGGCTTGGGAGGGAGAGCGGTTCGGTTCCCCTATCCGTAGTCCGGCGAAGTTAGGGGACGGGGCAGCGTGCCTTTCCGCTGCGGTCAGACAGCCGGTGCTCCGGCGGAGGGGAGAATGCTGTCCCGTGCGGGGTGAGCCATGGTGCCTGAGGGCGTTCTCTTAACTCAGTAGGCCTCATTACATCGTTGCCCGTAAGGTTTCCCAAGCTGGGGCAGGAAAACGGGTGGGAGATGGTCACAGTGGGCTTCGTGATACCTAGGTCCTGTTAAAGGTTTGAGGGTTCTGTCTAAATCCACCACTGTCATGTCAGCATCTTCCTTGGGGCGGAGTGGAGCTGCATGTTAAAAGATTCCACAGGTACTGGAGCTTAAATCATCCTTTTACTTATTCAGGAACTGGTTGGACTCTTCTAAACGAGGGCCATTCATCCTCTTCACAGCAGACTCAGCACTGCCTTGTTTCTATTATTGAGGTGGCAGATTCAAAGTGAGAGGTAGCATACTTGTACTTCCAGTCATTGCAGGCTTGGGTTTAAAATTTTTTTTTGAGAGTGAAGATAGTTTTGAAAGAAAAGGAGTGGGAAGAAAATGAGGAAGCACATTAGAGTTTAGGGCACACAAGAAACTTCGTGTTTTGCTGATACTGAAAACTTAACAGAAAGATTACACTTTAAGAATTAGGTCTGTTGTGCTGTTGCTCATTTTAACCTGGCTGAATGCTGTGACCACCTTACCAACCAGTGTGCTTTGCAAAGCAATGTAGTAAAATATAACAGGCTTCATATTTGAAAACAACAATCTTCTGAAAGTAGTGCATTCTGAGTTTTCACACTGTTGTTTCATCAATAAATGCAAAATAGGTGTTTGTAAATTCGCATCCTTGCTCTCTAGTAACTTCCCTGTGAATAAAAGCCTACAAAGAGATCTGGAACAGGGATTGAAATGTATTCCATAGCCCCTTACAATTTTTTTGTAATAAGCTACCTTTGTAAACAGTCTCTCATGTATACAGTGTTGTTGAAATAAAGAAGTTGTCTTTAAAATGTCTCTGGGTATTTAATTAGACGGTTGCACATTTTTAATATTGCAAAATGTTATACCAGTTTGCTTATGTAGCCTAATTTCACCTGTAGGCATTACTTGTATTAAGATTCAGTGATATAAACCAAAGAGGAATATTGGGGTAAAGTTAAGGGATTTTTTTGTGTTCTCTTTTTATTGCACAAGAGCACACCTTGATAAGGATGCTATTCTTCAGCTTTCTTCTATAGACAGAAGTATAAAAGGTTCACACCTTTAGCTATAAGTCCCTTTCCATTTTCTAGGTCACTTGGGCAACATTTTCCTTTAGCTGATGCTGCCTGTCAGTTTTGTCCTGTCAGGACAATTTGTCAGGAGAAATGTTTCTTCAGCTGCTGCTATCAGCTGAAGAAGCTTTCAATGTGCACTATATATATCTCTGTAATCGGTGTTTACCTGCTACTGACCTACTGTACCTTCGTCTTGGTGACTGCAGTCAACATATGCTAATATGTATTGGAATGTTACTAGCTAGTTAACAGTTAAAACCTGCCTGGTCCTGAAGGTTTGCTACTTTTTAGGAAGGAGCAGCTGTCTGCCTGCATTCTGAAATGCTGTTCCTTTGCCCCCTCTTTATGGGAGGGGAGAGACATAACTCATTAAATTAAAAATCCTGACCGATATTTAAAATTGCTGTGCAACCAAGGTACAAAATGTAAAAAATGACCTAATACCAAATGTAGGACTAAAGCTTGTATATAATTAATCATACAGTGAAGAAAAACATGTAATTTTAAATGGGACCTAAGAGCATATACTTTGTAACAGTTTGCTTGGTTTTCCTTTAAAACAGAACATAAAGTGTGATATACTACTAATACACTTTTATAAAATATTTTAAGTGATTGTCAAAATATTTATTTTTTTTCTTTGAAACTTAAAAGCAATAAATGTTACAATTCGGTTGCAGTGTAGACTTTTTGAGTGCAATACATATAGAAACTGTTTATTTTGGTAATTTCTGAATCAGATTATTAACTGTTTCTTACCACAGTCCATATTACTGGTGTTTTAGAAAAAAACCCAGCCATAATTACAATCTTGTTCTGTGTTTTTCTGTATGCTTATTAAAAACAGTTTGATATATTTAGTAAAATTATTTATGAGATAACCCAGAAAATGCAAAACCTGTACAGTTTAGGTTATAGTAATCTGAGTTTATGAGGGTGCGCTAACATGGTGCTAACCTGGACCATGCAACTCGGGAGTTTCTCAGCATGCTTGGTCCTGAGCTGTGCACAGGCCCATGTGAAGTGACACGGCTGTGTGTGGCTGTACTGCTTCCAGGCCTGTGGGCTGAAATGGCTTTGGCTGAGCTTCACCTCCAGGGGCAATAATCCCCTATATTATGTCTACCGAAGAGATGTGTTACATTTTGTCTGTAGTCATCTTTCTCATTGAAGTTGTGTAACAAGATAACTGTTTTAAAATTACTATGCTCTTTGTTATTTTTGTTTTTGTTTTATAGCCTATAGTTAGATCTTCATGTTTGGACAACATTTTTAGTCGAGTCTCTGTTCACAAGCTTACTAGATTTACCATATTGTCAAAAAGATGTGTATTTTAGGCTGTCTAGAAAGAGTATTTTGCTGTGTTCTAGGGCAACAGTTGCATTTTCTGTCAGTAAAAAGTGCTGATTAAAAACAGTATACAAACTTTCAAAATTTACTCCACTTTGCCTAAGATTTAAAACAGGGAATCATTTATGAGTGAGAAATTATAAAATTATAAATGGAAAATCTGTTTAAATTCTTGAGTTTTTCATGTATGTTGTAAGTCCTAATTACATTTGTCATTTCACTGGCATGTATAACCCTTGCTGTTGTTTTTCTAATTTAATATAGATAATCTAAAAAAATAGTCCTTTTTACTGTATTTTTTTAAAACGCTAGGAATAACTTTTTATTTCTGCTGCACTGATGCTCTTTTCATAGTTATTTAATAACTCAGTAATTGGATCACAGCAGATGAAAAGACTTGGAGAGGAATATCTTGATAATCAATGTAGTAAAATTAATGTTGTTTTTCTTTTTTTTTATTACAGTGTTCTGCAATCAGGAATAATGCTAAAATTTAGAAATGAAACCCTATTTTTATTTATTTATTTATTTTTAGAATATGAAAAATGGTGCTCTATGTAAAGTTTCTGTGCAATGCACTCAATGGGAATAAAAGCACTTGTGGTGTTTTGTTTTGTTTTTCCCTAACAGTAGGTTATGTATGACAGATGGCTTTGGTTAAGAAATTACTTCAGGACCTGTCTAAAGTGAATTAATTCTGACTATAGTATCGCCTTTAGGAAGAGAGATTTTGCAATTAATATTTTGCCAATACCTATGCATGATTTAATTTTCCTTGGTGTGTGAGATGTTGTGTAGCTTATGGAGGCATTTGTACATGAAACAGGTGGAGCTTTCATGTTTGAGACTCTGGATGGTCCTAGCTTACTAAGTAGGAACTTTTTTTTTTTCCTACTTTATTATTGTTATGCATAAAACTGGAATGATAAACATCTTGTTATGGAAAATTATGGTGGAAAACTTGGTGAAAACATTCTCCCCAGAGTTGTTCAACTTTGGTAAATTTCAGTAGATCTTTAATTAGATTGTATCTAAAGAAAAAGGTAATAAGAAACTAACAGGACAGGAATGTAAAAAGATTTTAGGTGTAAAATGTCTCCTGAATCTAATCTGAATTGATACTGGCATAGATTATGTAAATTCTTTTGGCAGAAACACTAATGTTAACCCATAAATTCTTGAATGTGTACAGCTTGGCTGCCGCTAGCAGCCAAGTCTGGTCTGCAGAATACCATTGGAGGAATATAAGCTTGAGCTATGCTTCTTGGCATCTTTTGACTGGATTCCTTTTGTTTTTTCATGCCTTTATTCTATGCAAAAAGGGCAATATAAAAAGAATTATTTATTCTCCTCAAAAATTGTGGAATATTCTGTAAAATAGTGCAGCAATTGGGCTGGGTTTACATTTAATTAATTTTAATGTAGTTAACTTTTAACATGTGCAACTTGGGGTCAGGCATGTGGGAGGCTTCCTTCCCCATCTCTTCCATTTCTTAGTGTAGGACCTGAGCAGAAACTGCAGGAACTGTCAGCCAGATAAAAGAGTTGAACTTTTGAGTTCAGATGGGCTTGCCATCCTTGACTTACAATAACCAACAGAGAGGAAACAAGATTTGCTGCCTCTTAAATCCCACAACTGTAGCATCTCCCTTTTGTGGCCTCAGTTTCTTGTTTAAGTAGGTAGGTGGGAGCATGCTGCAGGGTTCTCTGCTTGACCCTGTCCTGTCTCTGTTCTGTTTGTAAACTGACCTATTGCTGTGGCAATGTTTGTGACATCACCTGTTCAATGTTGCACCTTCAGTGCAGGCTTTGGTAGGAGAGAGAGGGAGCCGAAGAGAACCAAGCTCTTGTTTTAAAACTCACAACTTCCGGTATGACTAAGTATGTCAAGAAATACAGAAAAGCAACTGCCAGGTAATTGCATTTTTATATAGCAGATAAATTTGGAAGCTTTCTCTGTGGCATTTAAACTCATAGTTTAAATTGAGGGTCAAGGAATTGCTTACTCCTGTATGCAATTTACCCTTCTTCTAAAGCTGTAGAGTGGGAAGAATCGTGTGTCTTAAGCTCCAAGTAGTTACAGGCAATTCAATTGTAGATCCCAGCTGAGGTTTGGTATCTTGGAAGGTTTGAGAGGGCCATAGCAGCACATGGCTGCTGGACAGCTTGAGCCTTGGCCAGTGGAAGATGTGAAGCACAAGGGACCTGCTGTGAGCAGTGCTGTTGGGGCTTCTCTGGAGCACTCACTGCAGGGGAGCCTAGGCCTCTGTGCTTGTCCCTCTCCTGAGAGCCATTTCCAGTACTGCCTCTCCTTGTGGCTTTCCAAAGTTCTTGTTTTAGGGCTCCTGGCTATATGAATGAATATTTTAATATGGGGGAACCTCATATTAAAGGAAAGAAGGACCTCGGTTAGTCTGGAGTTTTTAAAGGAATCTTTTATTTTCTGTTAAGTTGTTAGTTGTCTCCTCCAAATATAAAATGGTCTGGAATTGCATTTTTCTCCCTATGTGCCTAATATACCTCCCTGTACTGCATTATTTAGATGTGCATGTGCTTACTTTTAGACAGATGACCATGGAAATGGTTGAATCACAACAGGATGACAGTGCAGGGGATTGTATGCCAGAGAGAGATGCTGTTCGTCTTCAGAATCAGCCAGGCCGAAGTCATATTTCTCAAGGGTCTGAGGTAAGCTGAAATATGGAAAGATGAGAAGAATCAATAAAGAGGTAGCTATTCAGAATAGCTATGATTTTTGAGTGATTCATTTATATGGAGTTCTCTTGTTCTGTAAGTCTTGTTATTAAATAGGAAAAAATAGCAAAGGTATATGGAAAACTGCGCATGTGGTATTTAACTAAGAGCTAGTATAACACGAGGTCTGTTATAAAGTAGCACTTTTAGGAGACCAGGATTTTCAGACTGAATGGTAGGCACTTTTTTTTTTCTTTTTCACTTTTCCAAGATGATTGTGTTTGTGATGGAGATGAGGATAGGGTCTTAAAGAGTTAAGGTGCTTTCAAGATCGAACATAGTTAAAACATCTGTATCTTGAAGAAGTGTTGTATAACAAAAATTAAAATATGAATTAAAAATAAGCATGGTTCTTCCCTAGTTCTAATTTTTGTACAGAATGTGTTTAATTCTTTCGGAAGTACATTTTTAATGTATGCTTATTTTGTTTTATCCCTGTGCATCCAATGACAGTGTCTGAAGTACTAAAAATATACATATTCTGTATGGTAGTCATACCTGGATTATTCTTTGCTAGTTAATGGATGAAAGATGACATAGTAATAAACCCTCAAACATTAAAAATGTGTACTGAAAGGTTCAGTGCTTAAGAGAGGTAGCATACTTGCCAGTACTAAGATTTATTACTTCAGGAGTCTGTATAGACCCCTTAGAAGGATCTTCAAAAACACTTTATGAAAGAAAGGAACTGATTTAAAAGACGTCTTGTAGAATTTCTTCATCACTGGAATTTAGAAGTTACTTGATAAGTTTTGATGCATGTATTGGTATGTTAGATAATTGATCTGCATTTTCAGGCTGAATGCAGCTGCTTTTTATGTGCTCTTTCAGACACAAAGTAGACTGCAAAGTATTTATGAATGCTTATTTGTTAGCTTTGTAACCTATGGCATTTGTTGTGGTTTTGATACGTGCAGCATTAGGAATACTGCAGGGTTTTTGGAGGGAGGGTAGGAGGGGTTGTTTGTTTGTTTTCCTGTAAGAATGGAATATGAAACCAATAAGTTTATTTGGTTTGCTCTGTAGATGTAATCCCCATATTTCTTCTTTGATAGTTCAGTTCAGATTTTGTGCCCTAACTTCACAGTGTGATTTACATATAAAATCTATTGGCATGTGCAATAGTCTCTGAAGAAAATACCTGTCAATTCTGTCACTTGGGATTTTTCATGATGACAAAGCTGCCACTAATGCTGTTGGAAGGCTTCCGATGGGTTCCCCGGGAGTACATTTTTTTGTGTTTATCTGCATTTAATGCTTGAGTACGTGTGAAGCTTCAGCCACACTGCAATAGGCCTCAAATGTTTCAATTAGAACTAGTAACTGAAGTACCAATGGATCTCAGTCCATCAGCACTAAAATGAAACACGTGCACTTCAGTTTGAAGGCTCAGGATAACAGTTGAGAGTTTACATTTGGGAGTCCCTCTTTTTGGTCAAATGGCCCAGGGAGCCAGCACTGCTCTGCAGTCGTAGCTGGAGGCGATTTCCCTCCCTTAGGATGGACAGTGCCAGAAAACTGGCGTTGATGCAGTTGTGCCAGTCTAACCAGCAGTGAAGTAGGGGGCCTCCAGGGGACAGCCCTGCCCCCTCAGCTGTCCAGCAGTGCTCCAGGCCTCACTGGCTGCCCCCTCACTGCTGTTCCCCAGGCCAGGGCCTGCAGGCCGCAGCTGGGAGTCCGGACCTCCCCTTAGAGCTTGAGGCTGAACTGCCACAGTATTTCCTTCAGTAAAACAGGCAGAAAGCTTATTGCCGAAAGACTTTATTGTGACATTTCTTTGGTTTAAGATGAGGAGGACTTTCTTAGCTTATGTTTCTACCTGGCAAGCTCAGAAGGTGAGATGCTTTGTCATGGTGATGGTTGGAGGTAGACACTGTGAGGTAAACCCCTGCTCAAGGCAGGGGCCGCGTGTGGGACATCTGTCTGCTTTTGCTGGTGCAGGATGGGAAGATTAGGGTGTTTGTGAGGAATTCTTGGCTGTGCTGTTGGTCCAGAGTCTGTGTATTTTGACTGTTACAGAAGGGTGCAGGTAGTTCTTTCTCCCTCTTTGGCCTCTGGAGGAGTGCAATTAAGAGAAAACAACTTAAAGTGGCTGAAATGTACCTTGGACTAACTTCCAATCATCTCCCCTACTAACTTACTGCAGATGTGCAGAAATGTGAGAAAAGAATGACTGGGTTCCTGCTTAAAGGTAAAATCATGAAATAGTTTGGGTTGGAAGGGACCTTCAAAGCTATCTAGTCCAACCCCCTGCAATGAGCAGAGACATCTTCAACTAGATCAGGTTGCCCAGAACCACATCCAGCCTGCCCTTGAATGTCTCCAGGAATGGTGCATCCACCACTTCTCTGGGCAACCTGTGCCAGTGCTTCACCACCCTCATTGTAAAAAATTTTTTCCTCATATCCAGCCTGATTCTCACCTCTTTTAGTTTAAAGCCATTACCCCTCGTCCTGTCACAACAGGTCCTGTCTTTCTTATAGGCCCCTTTTAAATACTGAAAGGCCGTAATAAGGTCTCCCCAGAGCCTTCTCTTCTCTAGGCTGAACAACGTCAACTCTCTCAGCCTTTCTTCATAGGAGAAGTGGTCCATCCATGATCACTGAAATTAACAGACATCTCTGGGGTTTTCTTTTTTGTTTATTTTGTGGGTTTTTTTTCAGCCAAATAAGTGGTTCAACCTTGGTTTTGTCAAGTCAAAAGTGAAGCATTTTAATATGTTATCTTTAAGTACTGTATTTATAGTTTTCTGTGTATTGTAAGAATCTCAGAATAGTTGAGGGATCTCTTGAATCATCTGGTCCAATCCCCCTGCACAAGCAGGTTCAGCCAGCCAAGGCTGCCAAGGACTGTGCCAGAGAGTCTTTGTGCCAGACGGCCCTTGAAGTAATGATAAAGCATTGCGCATCACTGATGTCAGAAAGTATATCCAGTTGGGTTGTGAACATCTCCAAGGATGGAGTCTCTACAACCTCTCTGGGTACCTGTGCCAGTGGTTGATTGTCCTCACAGTAAAAAGGGGTAGGATTTTTATGTTCAGATGGAATTTCATGTGTTTTATTTTCTTACTTTATTAGTAGAGAAAAGATGGTTTGGGGGTTTGTGGGGTTTTGTTGTTGTTTGTTTGCTTGTTTTATTTGTTTGTTGTTTTGTTTTGTTTTCTCCCTAGCTTGTGTAATAGATACTGCTAATGCATTTTTGGTGATGAAAGTAAAATTACTTCTGCAAAAGCAGAAATGAGTGAATTAGAAATATAAAAAATGAGACGCATCTTTCATCCACTGTGGCAAAATTGTCATTTTTCTATCTTGAAAAGGTTATTTTTTTTAAACAAAAATAATGTAAAATAATTTATAGCTGAGTTTCTTGCATCCCTCACTTTTAGCCAGTTAATGAATTGACACAGTATTGTTTTAAATATGTTTTCAATGTCATTTCAATAAGATCCAGCCTCCAAAAGAAGTGGGTAAGAAAATATTAATTCATAAAAATTTTGGTGATTGTCTTTAGAAGCTGTTGGACATGTACAGAAAACCTGTAGAGAAGCTTAATGCCTTTTTTCAGTGAAGAACAAAGGTGCGAGATTGAATATTTCTCCACCTGTTTTGAGATGGGCTCCATAAGTCCTCGCTCACATGCACAGATCTTACATGAATACATACAGGGCTGTTCTTAAGAGGAAGCTAACTCTATTTAGAATATTCTGATAATGCTGTGGTAGCCAAACTTGTATCTTGGAGCAGTTATATATCTGATTGGTATTCACAGACAAATTAGATGTTCCTTTTGCAGCATTTCTAGAGGCCTTACTGCATTCTGTGTTGTCCTGTGCTCAGCTACACTAAATCTAACTGTAAAAATGTAAGAGCAATGTACTTGGACCTTTTTCAGATTTGGCAAAAATACTTTCAGTTGTGATTTTTTTCTTTTCCTGTAATCCTACATCTTTCTTTGGTTCTTTGAATCACTTTTTGTGAACTTTGTCTCGTTGTCTGTCAGTAGAGTTGTCTGCTGCCTTGGTCTGAATTACCATCTTTTGACCTTTCCATGCTGGTCCTGGACTAGATATTGATAGAGATTTATAATATGAGAGCTGCTGTCAGAGTTTTCCAGAGCCTGGAGTGCATAGCCATTCCAGGTTGGCACTGCTCAGGTTTAGCACCTAAGGGGTATTATCCTTGTGGCCTCTTGCCATCAAACCTTGTGTTAAATCTTGTTCCCAACAGATTGAGCCCTGCAGAAGTCTGACAGACTGTTTTAGGTATGGCTATAAAATCAGTCTGCCAAATGCAAGTCCATGATATTTAGCTAAGCTGATGTTAGAGGATTATAAACCTGCAGCCTTGTCACCATTTTATGATTACTTAAGGTATGTCACCAAATGACTGAAATTGGCCTAACCTTGTCTTCCTTAAAACCATGTGCTGCTTTTTTGACATTAGCTGTGGAATTGACCAAAACATCCCTATCTTCAGCTTTTACTTGTAGAAGCTACTCAGTGCCTGAGTGCAGTGAATGCTTTGCTCTTTCATTAGGTGAATTCAGGATGGGTTTGCCTTGTCTTTTCCTTTCCCATAAGTACTTTTCTTTTCACTTCACTTCTGGAGTCCTTGTAGTGTTTAGATTCTACAGCAGGGACAGTACTAGGATGAAGCTCTGTACTGTGCACTTCATATCAGCAATGTTTAAGGCATGAGGGGTTGAGTGTGGATGTAACCTCTAGTACAATGTAGGGAGATGTTATCTGACCTTGGGCAATGAGAGTGCGTATATCCACAGTATGACTGTTCAGATGGGCAGTGCATCTTGAAATCAGATAATGATGAGTAATGTCTTTATGAAGGTTATGAACCTCAGTATGAAGATAGTTCATGATCTTCTTTTGCCAACGGAATACATGGTTGATACTTGTTGAAACCATTAGACTTAACAGTTGCATACCTAAGAGGAAAGAATCCAAAAGGACATTATAAGATCTAAGTCTCTTTGCCATTGCTAGGGACATAACCCTTACACTCTTTAACCAGACGCTTAATGTGTTATGCTTCCCCTTCCCCTTTGTGTTCCTGAGTTGCTTCTGTGGATTGTTTTCAGTCTTTGTGCCAGACAGCCCTTGAAGTAATGATGTTAAAGGTAGCATTGCTCATCACTGATGTCAGAAAGTAATTTTTTTGCCAAGTCTGTTTCAGTCAGCATTTACATATGATAGCATCAAAAGGTACTGGTATTTTAGTTAACAGAAGAATATTCAATTTGAAAACAATGCAAAGGGAAATGTGCGTTTTTATAAATGTTAGAAATCATTAAAACAATTTTGATCCACAAGTTGGAAATATTTTATTTCAGTCTTAGTCATAGAAAACAAACCTAAAACAAAATAATTGCAGACATTTTAAAGAAAAATGTGTAGGTTATACATTATGCAACCTTTGGATATATGTGGAAACTCAGCAAAAAGCAATTAAATTGAACTGTTTAAAATGGATATAAATGTAAATGAACAAGCAAATTGGTTTTGGTTTGATCCAGTTTTAAAATGCTACTGTCTTCTCTTCCCTCACCTCTATCCCCCATTTAGTCTCTTGCCTGAATTATTGGGAACAAAATGATTTCATCTGTCATGTTGTAAACTTCAGTCTAAAAGAGTATGGTTTTCTCTTTTTCTTGTGTGTTTCTACTGAATAAGTGGCTTTAAATGAATATAGTGTTTTTTAATCTTGAGTACTGGATTACTGCCTGATTGTAGGTGCCTGACCCATTGTGTACTGAAAGGAAACTCATAAACTGTTCACCTTGTACTTCTTTGTGTTGTACTCAAAATGTTCTTTCTGATACACAGAGTATTGTATCAGATTTCAGCTCTTGCGAACTTTGTAATGTTTTGAAAAGTTAGCATATTTTGTAAGCATTTAACCTGATCTGTCTTTCCTTGAAGCTTAGGTTTAGGATGATGTCAGCTGTGACACAAAATAGATCATACTCTTCAGATTCTGGAGACTTTCTAGATCTCAATCTCAAATACCTATCTGATAATATTAGTATTTGGTTTTTAGATTGGGAAGAAGGTTCGTATGTCCTGTTTACATGTTGCCATTAAATCACAGTATCATAGAATAGTTAGGGTTGGAAAGGACCTTAAGATCATCTAGTTCCAACTCCCCTGCCATGGGCAGGGACACCTTACGCTAAATCATGTCACCCAAGGCCTCGTCCAACCTGATCTTGAACACTGCCAGGGATGGAGCATTCACAACCTCCCTGGGCAACCCATTCCAGTGCCTCACCACCCGAACAGGAAAGAATTTCCTTCTTATATCCAATCTAAACTTCCCCTGTTCAAGTTTTAACCTGTTAACCCCTTGTCCTATCACTGCAGTCTCTAATGAAGAGTCCCTCTCCAGCATCCCTATAGACCCCCTTCAGATACTGGAAGGCTGCTATGAGGTCTCCACGCAGCCTTCTCTTCTCCAGGCTGAACAGCCCCAGCTTTCTCAGCCTGTCTTCATACGGGAGGTGCTCCAGTCCCCTGATCATCCTCGTGGTCCTTCTCTGGACTTGTTCCAACAGTTCCATGTTCTTTTTATGTTGAGGACACCAGAACTGCACACAATACTCCAGGTGAGGTCTCACAAGAGCAGAGTAGAGGGGCAGGATCACCTCCTTCAACCTGCTGGTCACACTCCTTTTGATGCAGCCCAGGATACGGTTGGCTTTCTGGGCTGCAAGCACACACTGAAGATGGCTCATGTTCATTTTCTCATCGGCCAACACCCCCAAGTCCTTCTCCACAGGGCTGCTCTGAATCTCTTCTCTGCCCAACCTGTAGCTGTGCCTGGGATTGCTCTGACCCAGGAGCCATTTAAATGTCATTTAAAGAATAATTGTTTCCATTTCAGGGAATGCCCTCAATTGTTCTATTTCCTGAAAAGTGGTTCAGTTTACCATGACAATTGAACAATCACATAGTAAATGTTGACAAGATCCTGTCTCTGTTTCCTATAAACATTGTTTCTTCAAGATAATCTGAGCCAACATCTGGTCTTTTTGATAGTAGTGCATCTTAATAGCAGTTAAAAACTTTCTCTAAAGAAAGGAATGTTTCCCAGACAAGGAATCATTCAGGAGTGAAAGCTTCTTTAATATTTGGTATTTAAAAATCCCTTCAGTGTGAACACAGAAAAACAGAAAACTTTCTTTAACTTTTATAATATTCAGCATTCATCATGTTTTTCTCTTCTTTGTCATCTATTCTTACCTTTACTTCTCATACCAGATACCTTTTGGGTCTGAGAACAAAGCTGGGAAGGGAATAATACCAGAATTTTAGATATGAGTCAGGGTCTATTCTTGTGCATGCAGAATATAGAAATAAGGCTTTTTCAATGCAGTTTGCTTTGAAAAACACAAGATCTGTTACTGTCATATGATTTATGTTTGTCATTCTCTTCTGAGTTTAGAGATGCTTCATCACCCAGAACTTGACATCGTAGTGTTTTCCCTTTGCTTCAGGATTTGTTTCTGTTAAAGACTTAACAGGAACAACATAAATATTGAACTATTTCTTAGCGTGTAGGTGTATAACTATTTCTTAACCCATCCTCATTACTGATGGTTTAGAACCAAGGGCTGGGGAAAGCTGTGTGTGCTCTAATACATCATCAGAAAAAGGGATCAAATTATTACTGGATGGAAGAGTTTCTTCAGCTGTGCTAGGCTTAAAGAAGATTCAGCTGTTCTTTAATTTTTGTTGTCATATTGAAATATTGATACACTCCAACACTGTTTTTCTTGATATGTAAATATATATATATAAAGAGTGTTTATTAAACTAAATCAATTTAGAAATCAGTGTATTGCTTTATTTAACAGAGTTGATGTTTTTTTGCTGTCTTAATAGTTCTCTTGTCTCTTGAGGAGACATCTATCTGGAAAGCCTACCTTCTTGCCTAGCAAAGCAAGCAAAACGAAAACAGTTCTGGCTTTTTTTTCTTTTCATTTTCTTTAATTTATTTTTTCCTGATTAAGACATTCTGCCCTCTATGTTGTTGCAGTGACATACTAGTTCAGCAAATATTGATATTATTGTATTTCTTCCTAACCTTCATGCTAGCAACAGCAGATTTAGTGTGTGATACCTTAGGGTTGTTTCTACTTAAAAAGAAAACATGAAGTCACAGGAAAAAAAGGAAAGAAGAAAGATTTGCAATTTGTTAGGGGTCAGATTTAAGCTTTCCATACCATTTACAAAGACACCCACCAAACTTTTACTAATAAAACTAGTATCTTTCTGTGTGTGATAACTACACACATCTAAGCTATTTTAAATATGGCATCAAAACAAGTTTGTTTAGTATCACTTCTAAAAGCATCTGCTGAAGTCTTAAGGCATGTTACTTAAACATGATGGTTGTAATTTTTGCAGGTTTCTGTAGCTGCATCAAGTGCTGGAAGAGGATCTCCAGCTCTAACTCTAGTGCATTTGCCTTCTGGTCAAACAGTTCATGGCCAGGCTGTCATTCAAGCCACACAGCCCTCAGTCATTCAGTCACCACACATGCAAGCTGTTCAGGTTAGCTCTTTTATTGTTACATTTTCATGAATATTTGGTAACTGATAACTCTTCCCCCCAACTCCATTTCCAGTTTCTCTTCATTCCTACCAGTTCTGTAAGATTTACTCATAAGGTGCAGGAAATGGGGAGGTAGGTGGCAAAATTCCAACCAGTAGCAGCTCTGCAAGCACTGTGTAGTGATTCCTTAATGCTTCCTGTTTACCTGGTAAGAAATTGTGTCTTGGAACCCTGAACATACGAAACAGCAAATTTGTATAGTAATGTGGCCTTACATTAGTGTACCTTGCAGTTTTTATGTCTGTTTTTTTTCTTTTAATTCTATGACCATCACTTTTCTAATGAGACTGTGTACTCATAAATTTGCAAATATCTCATACACTATTTTTGGAGAGGATCTAGGTGTAATGGAAGTAAATGTGTTGTAGTGAAATGATTACTTGTTGGTTTTAGCAGGCCCTTTTAGACCATCTGGTATTGCTTCTTGTGGGTATGGATATGAAAAGACCAAAAATAAGGGCAGCCTCAACGTAAATATGTATTTGGCAAATCTTCACATATTTAATGTTGCTGATGTTGAAAAACAAGGACCAGTGCAAAATGCTTAAGATATTCCTGAGCTTTTAAATAGGAAAAAGACCAGAGAAAATTGACTTGCAACGTTTCGAAAATGACTTGGCCTCCCATTGGCCTTTTTCTTGTAGCTAAGAATGCCTTTGTTCTAGTTTTCTTAAAATCTGATTGTGAAATGTCAACTGAATTGCTCTTTGCAGATAGAATTGGTATCTCTGATAAGAAAGGCTATATACACCTGTTATGCGTGAGCTGTTTGACCTGTAGTCATTGAACATGTTAAGGAAATAACATGCATTGTCGGTCTTCTTGTGAAGCCACCTTCAATGTTTCAGACTTACTAGCTTTCAAGTGCAATGACTAAGAAGGCATACGTAAGTAGGATTTATTTTAGAGATTAGAGAAAAAGAATAAAACCTTGGCAAAATACTGAATATTTTATTTGTAAGGAGTAGGTGTAGATGGGACTTGCAAGGTTTTGAATTTCTAGCTATTGAAACAGATGCAGTAGATGTCAAGAGACTTGGGTTTGGTCAAACTTGAACTCAAAGCAAAGTATTCAAAATAAGTATTTTTTAAAATGGAATTCTTTCTAACTGTAATTTACCAGAGCAAACTTCATTAGGTAAGCATATTGCAGTTATTCCAGGTTGCTGTCACTGCTTTTCTTCAAGTAAGTCTAGTCAGGATGCATATTGCTCCAAAGCTCAGAAGAAGGAATTTTTTCGGAATCTCTTGCCAGCTGCTGTGTTGTCTTAGGGGAGTGAAAGTTGACTATTTGTTGTATTGAGTAAACTCTGGCTGTTTTCCCTTTCCCAAAGGAGTAGAGAGGAAAGCTATGCCCTGATTAATACTGACTAGTCAGTTCCAGGGTTTTGCTCTGGTGCCATTTGAGCATGGTAATAGCAAATAAGGTGACTCTAGAAGAAGGGCTTGAAGATGCTGTAAAAGACTCCATTACACAGGTTGTTTAGCCTTCTGTGATCCTCTTAAGTAATTTATCCTGCCACCTAGCATTTCCTCCAGATCATTTGGCTTTAACTTGATATTGTGTCTTTGCCAGAAAGTAGGGAACTTGGGAAACAATATCAGTTTACTTTACAAGAAAAAAAAAAAGTATGCTGAGAGTTGATGTTAAGTTTTTGCTTGACTTCTCCCTCTAACACCTGCAGCTTTAAACTGGAAAATGTTCAACCTTTTTTTTTGTAATGCTGTTGGGTTTTGGATTAAGGGAAGGCTTATCTATATCATGTTCCTTACTATTTTGTTAATGTTGTTTTACTTGTTGGAAAGTTTGAAGTTAAGATTATTATTTGACTTTTCTACTTGATCCCCTCTGTAGTGCGTCAGTTATTGGCAGACTAAGTTAAGTTTGTTCAAAAACCACAGCAGTTTAGTGAAGTTGAGGTCTGAATGATGTCCAGGAAAAAATGACATTGTTTTTCACTGGTCAGCATTGCGACCATGGTTGCTTGCTATTAGAACATTAAGTTTATTTGTTTTGACGAAAATTAGAACTTTTGACATTTCTTCCACAAAATACCCTCTTCCACATTAAAATGCTTAAATTGCCTTTTGGTTTCCTTACCTTCTTCCCAAAGTATGACTGTTCCTGACTTTTTTGGCCATCTTCACAAACCAGGGGTGGGTATAGGTAACCCTTAGTGGGATGGGAAGGTTTAAAGGCACTAAGGGGCTTGTCTTGCTGTTTGTCCTGAAGCAATTAGATACATATTTTTTTTATCTCCCTTCCATCTCCCCTTTCAGAATGAGAGCTCTGTTTTGGGAGAGGATGTCCAGGCTCTTGGCTATGTAATATTTAGTTTTGAAGTTTTGTGCCAGAGCCTTGAAGGTCAATCAACAAGCAGATCACTGTAGGGTACTGGGGGGAGATTACTTTCAGACGATCTCTTTGCTGGTCAGCATTGGTCCATCCTCCAGAAGGATGGATACAAAATTCCTGAAGCTCTTGTATCTCTGCCAGTCAGCTCTGAAGTCTGGTTTGGAGCTATACATCTGTAGACAGGCAGAAGCACATACCTCTCATTATTTCTGGATGGTCTTTTATTAGGCAAGTTTAGAGTTTTAATGAAGCTTCCTAAGTACTACCCAGCAAAATGAGGCTACATTTAGTATTTTTACATAAAACTGGAATAGAATTAGTAATAGAATTAACCAGTGAAGAGAATTTCATTCTGCAATAACCTGTAGTTTTTTCAAGGTGTAGTTTTACAGATTTATTTCTAGCACCAAGCACCCAGGTCTGGCAGCCGCAATAATTCTGGAGTTCTTCCTTGACTTCCCTGTGCTGCCTACAGTGATTCCAGCTCAAACACTTGAGCCTTCTAGTCACTTAACTCATGTTTGTTCAGTGTTAGCTTAACATAGTGCTTATTCTGAAACTGCAGTCTGGTCTGTCTTTATGTGAAAAGGTCATTTTCCACACTAGCTTTTACTGTACTGTTTCAGTTTGGAAATCTTAAGTTCCAGCAGTTCTGAGTAGTAAAATCAAGAAAATAGGGTGTTTTCCTTGTACACTAATCACTTTCAGTTCTGTATAATAAGATAGTTGCTGGTAAAGAGTGTGATTCAGCTCCAGGCCTTAACATTGTCTCAGGTAATTTTAAGAGACAAAGAACCTACGAAAATACTACTAATAAAGGTCTAAGAAAAGGAGGCACTGAACTTTGTCAGAGGGTTCTGAAATTTTCAGAGTATTGCTAAGCAATGTATTTGTATTTATGAATATGTGTTGGTAAGTGTAATAAATGTGTAAATAAATGCATTTTCTAAATAGCTTTGGTGTGGTTGTGAAGAGGCTTTTGTATTGTATACTGTTCTTTAAGGTGTATCAGTGCAATATTCTGTATTTTAAATGTTTAATTTCACTTTAAAAGAAAATTAAAATGTATACTATATTTAAAGAAATGCATCTTCAGTACTTTTTCTAGGTGTCATTTACAAAAAAGTAACCTGGATTATTTAGATTTTTTTCTTTCAAATAGACTATGTCATCTAAATGACTGTATGTTGCTAACCTCATAATTTATGACTTGCATTGGTAAAAGAAGTCCAAGATCACATGAATAGTCATTAAATAAGTGCACAAACTTCATGTATGCAAGCATAGAAGGTTTTTTTTAAATAGTCTTTTACTCTGTTGCTATATTTTTTTTTATGAAGTTATGAATTTCAGAAACTTTACTATTACAGGCAGCATCGATTGCAGATGAATCTGCAGAATCAGAAGGGATAGTTGATTCTCAAAAGCGTAGGGAAATACTTTCAAGAAGGCCTTCATACCGGTAAGGACTTTTAATTTGAATTTTTAAAGGCAGCTTGTATATTACAGCAAAACTGTCTGATAAAAACCTTATTTTTCTCATGGTTATGGAATTTATATGTATAAAATTATCTTCTTTTTTTTTTTTTTTTTTTTAAGAAAAATTTTGAATGAACTCTCATCAGATGCTCCTGCAATACCGAAGATTGAAGAAGAAAAGTCAGATGATGAAGGAGTGCCTTCTGGAATTCCTGCAATGGCCATGCCAGCTGGCCTATATCACTCTAACACAGGGCAATATAGTATGTTTCCAAAGATACTATGTGATGTTGCAGAACATATGTAGGAACAGCTTTGTTTCTAAGAGTTCCATAATGAAGTGCAGATGTTGGATTTTGATGAAAAAGAATGAGAGCTTCTGTATTTCTAAATAATTTTGATCGTTTGTATTTAGTTTTTCCTAACGTGGGCATTATAAACTTTCAGTCTGTTTCTTGTAAAGTTTGTTGGTTGCTAGATTTTGTCCTTCTAGAACTCCTATGCATTAAAAATGTGGAGATGAGGCTCAGGTGAAATGAAAAATATTGGCACTTTGTGTGAATATTCAGTGTTATAAATCATTGTGGTTTCCAATGGCTGTAATTTACATTTTTTTGTGCTATTCATTACATGAAATGACAATTAGTGAGTTAAACTATTGTGAAGTCTAAGGCTGGAGTATGAAATTATTTCTTAACTTTGAACTTTTTTCTTAAAAGAACTATGTCTCTTCCTCTCCACTTGTCAAGTATGAACACTCTAACTGCAGAATTAACCTAAACTGTGTTCTCCAACATTTGATACTTCATCCAAATTCAAGTTAAAAGCTAGATTCACAGTTCTGTTCTATGGATTCATTGTTTCTTTTTTTAATTCTCTTATTTAAAAATGTTGGATAACTCTCCCCACAGCTTCTTTGGGCTTCATCAGATGTTATCCAAGGGATAACTTTTTAATACCTCTTTTTTTCAATTATGTATAAAACAAAACTTTATTTGTACAGGGGTTTTGTTGTTTGTTTGTTTTGTTTTTTTTTGTTTTGGGTTTTGATGTGGGTTTTCCCCCCCCGCCCCAAAACAGGAGAACAGAGGAAGTGTATTAAAACATTGCAGTAGTATATAAAAGAGCCTAGAATGGCTTATCACCCCTACAATTCCTCAATTATTTAATTCATGCAACTTATCAACTCTAAGAAAGCAGAATTTCCCTATCTACCCCTTCAGCATAGAAGGTCATTTTTCTTGAGTTCCTAAGCTGCTTTTCTTACCTTTTCTGTAACCTATAGACCTAAATAGGTGTCTGCTTCATGCTGTCCAGCATCTGAAGTGCTCTTTTCAGTGGACTTGTGGTCATGCTAAATTACAGTTATCTGGTACAGAATGTGACAGGTACTCTTGACCAAATTACTCTTCAAGTTTTGAATTATATTTTTAGTTTGGCTTAAGTTTAGTTAAAAATATATTTGCAGTTTCAAGGCTTAAAAAGGAATGATATACTGTCTGTACTATGTTCTAGTGAGCCTTCAAACCTGAGGGATTTGTAAGAAATTAGAGTTTAGGGTTTTTAATTGTAATTTCCTCTAGGAAACAAGAATTGTACTTATACTAGGAGTGTCTTGCAGGAGGTGATTCTTAATTAAAGATGTTTCAGTTCGTGCATAGCTATAAATCATAGTGACAGGGAAGTGTATAAAAGAATAATGAAATTTATAGGTTTTGCTTTTTTGTTCAATCAGACATTAACTTTTGAAAACTCAAGCAACAGAGAACATCACCAACCATATGCTTAAATAAACAGAGTCCACAAACAATTAATTAAATGTCATTTATCTTAATTTAAACTTGGCTTTTGCACGAACCAAGCATAGATTTCTGGTTTATGCTGCTTTTGCTTGGAATAAATTACAGACATAGCCTAAAACATCTGCTGTGTATTTAAGGTAATTTAAGTTGTTAAATAGGTTTTCATCCATAATGAGGCATTGCTTCAGGTTGCAGTGTCAGCTTTTATAGACTCCTGATGCTGGCTCAAAACTTTTGAGAGCTCTGTCTTCATGGAAATGGTTTTTCTTACCCAATTTATTGTTCATTATAATTTTTTTTTTCTTTTATTAGTTCAACTTTTGAAGTTAAAATCTCACATCTTTTTCCTCCAGTGAATGTGTGTATTCTCTGATTCTGGTTAGGAAAAATTGTTTCCAAGAGGTAGCTAGGATGGTCATCTCTTTGTAATGGAGGGGGTCTTAATTTGGAATTTACCAAAGAGAGCTTGACTGTTCACTTCTGGTCTTTAAATTTGTAAGGCACAGATCTGCAGCATTTCTGAGTAGCTGTCCTATGATCCTCAGGAACTGTTGTTAGCTAAAACCGGAACACTGTGTGGGAATGCAGCATTACTCATGTTGATTTCAATCTGGATGTGATTCAGACGGTCACTACATGTACCTGTGTTACCTTTATGTCTCCTGTCAATACCTCCTTACTTTTGCTTTTAATTATTGTGTGAGTACTCATCTCTTCTTGACTAGCATTAGTTGCATGGGTTCTCTTGTACAGGCATCCAGCAGTTTATGCATTAAGCTTGTAAAGTGTCCATGACAATGAAGAATTGGAGAGTTGGTCTTGCAGTGTCACTACAGCCATCTGTCCTGTGCCCTGGTTTCACACATGCCTTATGCTACTTTATTTGCTCATTCCTTATTTTCTCTACTGTTCTATCTCTGCATAGGAAAGGCAGTTTAGTTGAAAATATAATTTTGACTGTATGTTGGTGTTTGGATGCCTCTTTTTGGAAGATGTTGATAAGTAAATTTTTCTGAAAAACAAATACATTTTTTCTGTTAACAGCAGTGATGGCTGTTCTTTGCTTACTTTTTGCCAGCCAAAACAGTATGTTACCATGGTTTCCAAGTATCTTTGTCCCCAGAGCTTCTTGGCTTTAGACTATGGAAGCAGACAGACTGACAGGCATGACCAGCTCGATAAAATGTCTCTGTTACCTTCATCAACATATGAGTTATCTTTCTCTAAGGGAAATGGGTAGTTTTGCATAAGGTACTGTCTTGTGTATGAGCCTTGTAGCCTCATCTGACTAGAAACCTATTGTGTTTGCTGTAGTTCTGTCATGTTAGTTACTGAATACTGACAAAACGCAGGTGTTTTGCCTCACCTGTGGTGGTAGCCTAACCATGAAAAACGTATTGAAGCCTGTGTGCAGGACTTCCTACATCACATGTTCCCCATTATTAGGGTAGGACTCAAGGTCCTTGCTGAACCCTTTTTCTGAATTGCAGATAGGGCTCTGTGCTTGCTCCACCATGAGAGGAATTCCCCATTTTCTCCAAAAAGAAGTTAATTTAGCTGCTGGGATTTGGCAATTTCGATAGATTACTATACTCTCAAAATATTAGCTGAGCTTCTAATAGTTAATGTTGTCTAATTTACCAATAACAGTTTACTAATCAACTGTTAGTATCTCCAGTGCTCTTTGAAGTGTTATCTGATGTTTCACTTTTAAGATAACTTACTCTTGTCAAGACAGATCTTTTGAAATTAACTATCTCCAAAACTCACATGAGTGTGTAATGAATCATGTATTCACATAACCAAAGCTTAACCTTCAAGAAAGTTATCCAATATTGTGAATCTGAAAGTGAAATCAGGAGCTGGCAATCCTGGATCTATACTTATATATGACTTTTGTACTATCTCAGACCACTTTAAGTACAATGACAATTATTGTAGTTCAAAAATACCTTTCTGGGGGAGAAAGGAGTTTGTTACTTCTTGAGAATTGGTTCTCATCTAAAAGTTCTAAGAATATTTTAATTAATGTAAGAGACATGAATTTGACAGGTGGACCACTTGGTGGATAAGGAATTGGCTGGGTGGTCACACTGAAAGAGTTGCGTTCAGTGGCTCGACGTGGGTGGAGACCAGTGATGAGTATTGTTCCTCAGAGGTCTGTACTAGGACCAGTATTATTTAACATCTTTGTTGGGGACATGTACAGAGATTGAGTGCACCCTCAGCAGATTTGCTGATGACACCAAGATCTGTGGTGTGGATGACATGCTGGAGGGAAGGGATGCCATACAGAGGGATCTTAAGAGGTGGGCCCATGCAAACTTCATGAAGTTCAGCAAGGCCAAATGCAAGGTCCTGACCCAGGAGTCAGGGCAATCCCAAACATTGATACAGGCTGGGTGATAAGAGGATTGAGAGCAACCCTAAGGAGAAGGATTTGGTGGTACTAAATACGAGTGGTAAACTAAATACAAGCTGGTAATATGTACTTGAAGCCCAGACAATCAGTTGCATCCTGGGCTGCATCAAAAGTGTGACCAGCAGGTCGAGGGAGGTGATTCTCCCCCTCACCTCTCATGTGACTCCACCAGGAGTACTACATTTAGCTCTGGGGCTCCCACTGTGAGACTGACATGAACCTGCATGATAGGGTCCAGAGGAGTGCCACGATCAGAGGCCTGGAACATCTCCTTTATGAACCTTATCAGGCTGAGAGCGTTGGGGTTTTTTAGCTTGAAGAAGAGAAGGCTTCGGGGAGACCTTATAGCATTCTTCCAGTACTTAAAGGGAGCATACAAGAAAAATGGGGAGGGAACCTTATCAGGGAGTATAGTGATAGCATGAGGGATAATAGCTTTAAACTGAAAAAGGATAGATTTGGATTACGTATTAGGAAGAAATACTTTATACTGTGAGAGTGGTAAGACACTGGAACAGGCTTCCCAGAGAAGCTGTAAATGCCCCATGCCCTGGCAGTGTTCAAGGCCAGGCTGGATGGGGCTTTGAGCAACCTGGTCTAGTGGAACGTGTCTGTGATTGTGACAGGGGGGTTGAAACTAGATGATCTTAAGGTTCCTTCCAACCTAAACCATTCTATGATATTTCTGCTATTAACAAGGACAATGCCAATTTCAAAGTGAATATGCAATTAATAACCTATGTAGGGAATTTGATTTTTGTCTTAAATATTTAATTATAATGAGCAACAAAGTATGATTTTTTTTTTTAATGGGGAAAGTATATCTTTCATATTGCTGATTATATGGGGGGAAAATCACAAACTTTGTTTTGTTTCTATTTTTATATAAGTATTGAACTCTTTGCAGCTTAGAAAAACATTGTTGGGCTAGAGTTACTCTCACACTAAGCAAAGGCTTGTGAACATCAGATCTAGCTCGCTCTTTGTCTAGATGCTCTTCCTTTGTCCTGGGTTTTGTTTTGTGGGTGTTGCTAAACATAGCTGTTTAGTTTTTTTCTTGTTTAATAACTTTGTCAGTTTTGTGTTTGTATGCCTATAAGGTACTATTTTTATTTTTTTCTTGTATTAAAACTGTTTTAGGAGGGTTAATACTTCTGAAAGTGTAGAGGTAAAATGTGTGGAACACTGCTTTTTATCTGTTACACACATGGCATGTACTACATGACAGACTTTCTATTTGTGGAAATCAGTATTAATATTATGCAAGTTGTATTTTACAATTGATTTTAAGCAAGGAGAGGAGCAGGAGTCCTATCAGGCGGTGTTTATTTTAAAGAGAAAAATGTGTTTTTTAATGTTTAGGCAATATCTCTTTCTGTTGCTTAACTTCTTCTTTTTATCTTTAGTTACTATAACTCAAGGTGGTGCAATCCAGATTTCTAATCCAGCCTCTGATGGTGTCCATGGACTACAGACATTAGGAATGACAAATTCGGGAGCTCCTCAGCCAGGTGCTACCATTGTGCAATATGGAGGACAATCACCACATAGCACACAACAGTATTTTGTTCCAGGAAGCCAAGTTGTTGTTCAAGGTATGTTTTATTAGGCAATTGCATTTTAGTTTTTTTTTATGCAAACCAGTTTTTCTTAAAAGGCTTTTTGTGTTGACATTGTACCTGTGTGACAAAATCAAAGGCAGCCTTAAAAGGAGACTCAGTTTCTCTGTTTAGTAAAGCAGCTACTTCTTTTGATTAGAAAGTTTTATGAGGAGGAAATAACAGTATAAAATAACTTTCTACTTTGAGTTCTTGTGTCCAGAGTTGGAGAGAGATTTTTAATTGCAGTAAAGGCACTGTTACGGTTGAAATGAGATCCTGAGGATGCATCTTTTTTGATAATATGAAACTAATTTTGGGGTTTTTTTTCAGCATTTAATCAATCTGAAGTTCTTTGGATATGTTTAAGGCAGAATTTCCTTGCAATTTATGACTCCTAGTAGAAAGGAGATCTTTTACTGAATCTAGTTTTCTCACAGCAGAACGCTTTGTAAGTCCTATAACATGCACACATGTGAAATGAACTGTGAATAGTGAATTCCGGAACCTTACTGTTCCCAGCCTTTTGGAAATGCTGAGAGAAATTGAGAACCAAAGGTATCTTGGATTCTTACCTATATTAGGGAAAGTAGTGTTGGTATTTGTGTTATGCTGAGGGAAAACCTTTGAAAATGTGGAAGAGATTTCTGTACAGAGACACTAAATGAATGGTGTCCATGGATGATATAGGGAATTTATTTTCCCTATTTTTTTTTTTTAATGAGAGAAGTGGGGAGGGCTGTATGAATGCTTTCTTAGCTTTCTTAAGCCAGAACAGCTATCTGAAATAAGCCGTGAAAAGAGCTAGTAAGGCTTTAAATATGTTCATGGGGCTGATGAGGTATCTGAGATAGTTGGTGAAATCCAGATTGAGGTGCCATTTTTACCCTAATATGGATATTTGAAATAAGTTCTGTCTGTGTCTGTTTCTTTCCCTTTGCTGTAAAGGAAGTCCAGGATGTAGATAAAGCTAATAGTTTGTAGATATCTGAACTTGTTGAGGCAATGCTAAATAATGATACCAAATTTTAATTCTTCTATTGCCTCAGGTTAATTCTTCACTGAAATACACTGTCTTCCCAAAACATTGCAGAAGCATTTCAAGGGAGTTTTGGGACTGTAATATATTAAAAAAAAATCTTAGCCAAAATGTTAGTTTTCAACATGCAGAGAGTACTGTTATATCTTCCTTAAATATTATTATGAATACTTACTTAGCAAAGCCTTGAGATCCACATTTGGCTGTCCCACAAACAGATTTCTCACTTTGGCAGTTAATGTTTTCTGAGTATGAGTAACATGTTTTCTATATGTGCATAAACATCCCTTAAATTAGAGGACTTTGTCTCTCCAGGTTGACTGTAGTGTTTGTATGTACTGCTTTGAGTCTTCAGAGCTTCAGGGGTGGAGTGTGGGTGGGGCAGAATGAGCAGCTCTTCAGTTGCTTCCTTGAATCTCCCCAGTCTGCGAAGAAGCACAGAATTTAGGGATTATATCTGGCAGCATTTCAGTTCTTGGGAATTTCATTTGACTCTGCTTCCTTTACAGACTGTTTGTTGCAGGGTTGTCTTTAGACAGGGCTGTCCTCTAACCTCCCTAGTAAGTCTCAGTGGTGGGCTCCACTGATGGTGTAGCCCATCAAGTGTCTTGCCTGTGATGAAAATTTCCAAAATGGATTCAGAGACAGTTTCTGAATACTTGCTATATCCTGTTTCTGGAAGCTTCTACATACTTTTAACTAAATTGATCTATTCTCTGTACATGCTTAGAGAAGTTGACTTGTTGCAATTCTCTCTTCTGTTGGCTCAAGCAAAATGATTTAATGATGCTCATAGCTGTTGACACAGAAGAAAAATGGTGTATAATATATAAAGGGAAAAATACAAAGGGAATAGTAAGTGACCATCAACTCAGGGATGATGAGAAGGTAACAGGTTTCACCTGAGCGTATATGCTGTTGATACCAGAAAGTCTTTTAAAAAATATCTTTAATTTTTAAAAAGTACATAAAAAGAGTATGAAAGCACCTGAGGATGTTTATGGTAATACAAATTTCTTTGTGATAATTGTGTGTTATCAACAAACCTGAGTTATTTAGGATGGAGTGAGACAATGGAATTAGTTTGATACATAAGTCTCTAATATGTTTTTATCTTGCCCATGCTAGAAAGTCTGTAGTCCGTTTGTCATTTATGTACACTTTGTAGTTGACGCTTCTCCTGATACTGTGCTATTAGGTGACTATAATGGGAAAAGATTATAATAGGAAAGCAACATTCTGCTTGGTAATCTTCCCACTTAAGTATATTGTTATAATGATTCTAGGTATATAAATTTTAATTGTCGTGGAAGTAAAACCCCAAACAAATCAAAACCAAGCAACCAAAACAAACAAACTGTGCAAAAAACCAAGCAACAACAAAAAACCCCAAACAAAACCAACAACAAGAAAGCCACACAAACACCCCCCCCCAAACAACCCCCTCCCTCCCAATATGCTAGGCAACCCCCCTGAATATAGTAGGGCAGGAAAGATCTGTTTAAGATAGTATACGTATTTATGTTTTTTTCTGAAATATTTATTGATGAATCTCATGTGCAATAATCACATAAACCCTGTGCTTGATATTTTTTCATAACCTCTGATGGGGAAAATGAGTTAGTACAAAAGTACTAAAGGTGTTGATCCACGAGTGATAGTCCATTTGCTCCAAGTTTACATTCACAGGCAATATCAGAGGCAGTTATGATGTCCTGACAGTTTTCTAATACATTTTAAGGTTTGGTTGTTGGTTGGTTTTTTTTTTTTGGTTGTTGAAGCAGAATTAATTATTAGTGAGAATGTGCGTAAAAAAAAAAAAGTCTCAAAAATCATTCTGTTGGGATCTGTGTGTGTTTTATGATGTGTTCAGCGATATGAACAGTGGTATTTGACATCTGAGGCTTGTATTTCTTGCGTGCTTCAGTTCTGATCTTCTATTTATCTGATCCTGAAGTGGTCCTGTAATCACAGGGCACTCCTTTTTTGCACTGATGCTTCCATTATTTCTGTCCTTGGCATAGTTTCATAGCTGATGAATTACCGCTCTGAATTTGTTTATTTCAGACAAAGGCCTTAGAAGTTTGCTATGCCCTACATACAGACCAGAGCCTGGACTATTGGTCTGAAACAAATTTCATTTAAATTGGTGTAAATATAGAGTAATTCTGTTACAGCTGAGTTTTTAGTTTTGTGTTTTTATTAATTAAAAAAACCCTAAGTCAACCAGGCCTCCTGGACTTCATTTAAAAGGAAGGAATGGGGGAGAGGTAGCCCTTACCCAGAATTACTGTTTACAGCATCTGGAATCACTAGCTTTAGGTTGACTGACTTTGTTGGAGCTTTTTTCAATCTTTTCTGAAGCTTTTAACTTAAATGAGTGGGTTGTGGTTTCCCCCCCGCCCAAAGCAAGGAGTTTCAGCCTTTCATTTACCTATTGTTACATCTTATTAAGCTTTCCTGTGTTGCATGTCTCTCTGGCAGAGGTCTCTGCCTTTTAGTAGAACTGCTTCAATGAAAACAATTGCATGTCTTTTTAAAATTTCCCTGTCTTCTATCCAGTCGTGACTTTAATTTGGATTCATTTGTGAATGCTAGAGCCATGTTTTAACTTCTGTCAGTCAGTGCTGTGAATTTTCAGGTCTTGCTTTATAGGCAGCTTTGTGGTGAGTGCTTTCTCTGGCTTTGTGAATAATTCAGGGGAAAAGAACAGAGCTAGGCTTACAGAAATGTGGAAAAAGGAGGGGAAAAAAAAAAGGCTTACTGGAAAAGGAGTTCTTTGGGCTGCAGTTTCAGTGAGCTGTTCCAGTGACAGAGCATATTAATGACAGCGGTAAGCAAGTGAGGTCACTGTGATGTCAGTGCTCTTGCTTGTAGTCCCGCACATGCTTGCTAGTTTGGAACACTTCATGCTGAGCTCTGGTAGAGGAACAGGAGAATCGTGTGTGCAGACGCTGAGCATGGCTGTAACAGGAGATGAAACAGGTAAAAATTTTGTTAATCTTTTCCATTATCTTTTTGGCTGTCTAAGCAGTGCTTAGTTGGTATTTCTGACATTTTCTTTAGAACCTGTTTCTATAACTCTTTCATTTTTCAAACTGTACAAATAGCTTCTGATTATATCTAGTTAGTGTAGGATTTCAGGGCAATTTTAACAGTTTTGTTTGGGGGGGAAACAAATCACAGTTAGTACATGAGTTCTTGCACAGATTGATTCAGACAACTAATCTTTACTATTAGATGCAGGATTTTGCTGAGAAATCCACCACTTAAATCCATCTTATTGTGGAGATGGTCATATGTGTTACTATGCTTATAATTGTTTTTTATTTTATACAAATGACAGTGCTTTTTTTGTTTAGTAATAAACTCAAGCCTATTTCAGCTCTAAAATCTTAAGCAGAGCTGAGAGAGAAACAGTGTGCAGTTTCAGTACTGTAAATAAGCTCTGTGCTTTCATTATTAAAGAAAATGCTGAATGAAAACAAATTTGAGAGCGATAAATTTTAAGTATTATAGTGCCTGCTTGTTTTCTCCTCCACTGTTAAAATGGTCTGTTCCTCAGCTAATTGAGTTCAAAAGGCTGACGTCATTAGATTTCCTGGAATCGTGTTGAAGTAGGGAACTGGAAAAGTTAAACTCCAAACAAGATACACATTGACGTCAGCTCCAAGTCACGCTGTGATTTAGTCAGTTCCTTTCTGCTTCGTCAATTGCCTCCGGCAGATCTGTAATATTAACTGGTTCACAGCCGGGACCTATGTGCTGCTGCTCATTGCTGCTACCTACTGTTTCATTAATCCAAAGATAAGTATCTTCTCTAAGTCGACGTTTTGATTTTTCATGCTCAAAGAGATAATGATTCATGCCTTGTTTAGCCAGTTTAGTGGTGAAGTTGAAAACCCTTTGATAATCTAGTTCCATCATTATGACTTACAGAAGAATAGACGCACTAATACATAGCATACATTGGGCTTTTTGTCTCCTGGATAGTTACTGAAAGAACTTAAGTGCTGGGATGCTCTCTAGTGTTCAGCAAGTTACTTTTTTCAAGGCCCTGCTGATATGAGGTAGTTGATTTAAAAAACAATTAGTTTTTGTTAATTTCTCAGAGCTGTATTTACACACTTTTTCAAATGAGGTTTGTTTGGTTTTGTTTGTTCGTTTGTCTTCCTTTTAATAATTTTCTTTATGTAAGTCTCAACTCAAAGCTTCAGCTTTGCAGTGGCTTCTTACTCCCTTGCAATTTTAAGAAGGGGAAAGAAATTAAAAATTGAAAATTACCTGGAGCAATGTGTTAGGGAATACACCATCTCCAGGTTTGTTGCTTAGCTTTGTTTCAGTCCCATGTATGGTATGTCAGGAATCACGTTAAATCTCCATGGAACTTTGTCAGAAATAGCCACAGAGGTTTATCAGTTGGATTGGGGTGTGGGGGATTTTTGTCTCAAATGCTGAAGTGGAAGGTACCCTTCTCTGTGATATGCAGATACATTACTAGACATAAACCATAATTTTATTTTTTTTCAAGGGTATCTTACAGCACCACCACCACCACATACCCTTCACCTCCTGCTTAAAGCCTGTTTCAACTTTCCCAATGACTTTTTTTGGAGGAAACAGTATTTTATTGTAACTTCTGGAGATATACAGAAAAACTTGAAGACTTTGAAATAACTGATTTGCAATGATGTGTGGGTTTATAAGGTCTGTGTACCAAAAAGGTTATTTATCTCTGTTACCATGTTGTTAGATTCATAAATGAGTCAACTGTTAGGAAGGCACAGACACTACTGGAACCTGCTCAAACTATTCATGTGAAGTGTTGCTTAGTGGTGTTTGTTGATCCCAGCTGAGATAGGGCCTCGCTTTTGTTAAGTCTTGTTGCAGGTACATGATCATACTGAGTCTTCTCGGGACTGAGTGCAACAACAGCAGTAAGTCCTATTAGCTAACATCTGACTGTAAATCAAAGACAAAAAAATAGTTGGTCTTGCCAGGCTGAGGTGACCTGGGTTATGGGCCTTTCCTCATGACTTGATCTACAAAGTGCTTCAGCTGGACTTCTGATTCATTGTAGCTACTGCAAACCAAGATAACATCTCTTTTTTTAGATAGTAATGATAGAAAAAGATAGTTCTTACCATAGAGTCGGTAAAATGTATGTAATATGGCCAGCATAAAGGTGAGCCTGAAGGGTTTATAAAATTCCGTTTTAAAAATAGTGCTAAGAGATGTGGAGAACTTAAAGAAAGAATTAATTTTCTTCTAGATGTACAAGGCCACCAAACCCTGTGTTCAGGGTGGCTGCCTGTTCAGCGCTCACAAGGCTGTCCTGAGCTGATTTCTCTCTCCCTCCCCCATCCCTAGGGGATTATCTGTAACCCAGGCCAGTTCACTGGTCCTGTTCATCTTGTAATTCCACAAACACTTTTACGAGCAGGATGGAGAAAGGGGGGAGGTGTAAAGTGTTTAAGCTGATAATGATTTCAGGACATGGCTATGGAACTGTAGTCTAAACACAGCTTGAACCTATTTTTTTATATTTAATTAGTGAAGTACCCGCATTAACTTAATAAGAATGATAGTAATTTTTTTTTTTTTTCAGTTTAGGTTTATTCCCCTCCCTATAGTTGACTGATGTCACTTTACTTCTGTACCTGTCAGCCTCCCCAAGGTGTTTTTGTCTACATTTTGTTTTTCCAAGTTGTCCTGGTTTTGGCTGGGAGAGAGTTAATTTTCTTCATAGCAGCTGATACAGTGCTGTGTTTTGGATTCAGGATAAGAATAATGTTGATAACACACTGATGTTTTAGTTGTTGCTGAGCAGTGCTTACACTAAGTCAAGGACTTTTCAGCTTCTAATGCTGCCCTGCTAGTCAGGAGGCTGGGGGAACACAAGAAGCTGGGAGAGGACACAGCTGGGACAGCTGACCCCAACTGGCCAAAGGAATGTTCCATACCATATGGCATCATGCTCAGTGTATAAACTGGGAGGAAGGCTGGCTGGGGGCTGCTGTTCAGGAACTGGATGGATATCAGTCAGTGGTGAACAATTTTTATTCATTTGCATCACTTGTTTGTCTTGTGTTTTATTTCTTTTTGCTATTTTCATTACAATTCTTTTTCTTATTATCATTATTCTTATTATTATATTTCAAGTATTAAACTGTTTTCATCTCAACCCATACATTTTCTTACTTTTACCCTTCTGGTTCTATTCCTCATCCCACTGGGAAGGAGGGGAATTAAGCAGGCAGCTCTGTGGTGCTTAGTTGCGGGCTGGTGTTAAACTGTGACACCAGTTTTTCCATTATCTAAATATTGCTTTAAAGAATTAAAGTATAAATTAATTCTAACATAAAAGCCTCTGAAATTTCATGTATTATGTTCAGTCGCTTTAATTACAAAATTTGGAGTTTGGTGTGTGATAATATAAAATATTTATGGAAAGGAATAGGTAAATACTTGCTTGTAATTTGAAGAGAGATACTTCCCCCCCCTTCCCCCCCCCCACATCAGACAAGACACAGTATGTAGGACTTTAACAGTATTTTAAAGTTGGGGTACATCATGTAGGAATGAAGTACCTCAGAAATACAGAAATGAGGGAGACCATCAGGAAGGTATTGGCTCCAAATAACAGGTCAGATTTCAGGTCTGTGTTTGGTTTGGGGAGGGCTCAAAAGTGGTAGTAGGCTCAGGAGCTGAATATGAACTTTTGCACTCTGGCTTACTGTGTAACTATACCCCTTCCTGTGAAACAGCCACTACTGTCTCTTGCCTGCTAATTCTGCAGCATCCTATTTGTGGTCCTTTTGCTCAAAGAGCGTACCCCAGTTCACTGTGAGCACTTGTCTGTTCATTTTCATTCTGGCAACAGCAGCTCTCACTGGTTTTGCAAGGGTTTCTGTGCTGCTGCTCTAGAGGGAGGAAAGGCAGTAAGGCTGGTACTGTTGCTATCACAGGGAAAGAGGAGAAAGTTGACTTCTGAAGCTTCTGTTGGAGGACAAGGGGTAGCATGTAAATTTCAGTGGCTGCAACAGCAGAACCATATTTTTGTGGAATTGTGTGAACAGGGAATAAGTATGCACACTGTGTTTTTCAAGCAGCTTTCCCTATGTTGTCTGAAAAGAGCCATGTGGAAGCTTTCACAGGCTTCAGTCTGGCTGGCTAGTGGGACCATGTGCTAGAGCAATTTAGATAACTTATTTTATAGTGTGGAAATAAATGCTAGAAAAATAACAAATGTAGCTGTGACATGACAGGCCTATGAAATATTTTATGTAGCAGGGATCCTGGAGAACTCATCAACAGAAATCTGTTGTTCTGTGACTCTTGTGTAGTTTGATTTTTTTTGTTGTTGTTGTTTTTTTTTTCCCCATAAATTTTAAAATATGATTCTTTTATACAGCTGCCACTGGAGACATGCCAGCTTACCAGATTCGAACTCCCACTACTACCTTACCTCAGGGAGTGGTAATGGCTGCCTCACCGGGGACTTTGCATAGTCCTCAGCAACTGGCAGAAGAGGCAACTCGCAAGAGAGAGCTGAGACTTATGAAAAATAGGTAAGACTATATCACAATTAATAGTCAGTGTTGCAAAAAAACACCCAACCCCAAAACATTCTAGTGAAACTTTCTTCTTAAAGTCATGAGCTCTGCCTCTGAGTGATAAAGTGAAGGCAAGAAATTGTCAGTCATCCCACATCCTTATGGCATTGTGTATTGGCTGTTAACTCTGGAAAACTAGAGTTGACCTTATCACCATGGATTTTTAGTTTGAAAATATTATGGAAATTCAGAAATCAATATCAGTGTTGTCCCTTTCTGGTAATTTTTGTGATGATCTGGAGGTGTACTTAGTGTTGAATTCCCCCCTGATCCACCAACAGTAAAATGACCAGTACGGGTTTGTTCATCTTGAAACATCCCAGCAAAGAATTGGTTAGGAAAATATCTGAGGATCTCATTAGCAGTCATCCATTAATGATGCTCTGAAGAGGACTTATTCTAGGGTGGAATGATAATTATAGGCTTTCCAAAATAATTGGCTACTGTGATAAGTTACTGTGCAGTGCCTCTGTCATTTTGTGAGGCATATTGTGTGAGGTGGCTGTATTTTTTTTAATTAGTTGGCATGGGCTTGACTGTGTGCTGTAACTGCCAGTCTTTCTCTGTGCTTTCTTCTTTCTGTTCTTAAGGGACTCCCCTTTTTTCAAATGCATAGCTACTGCAATCAGTGGCAGTTAGATTAATGGAAGAAATAGTCTGCCATGCAGATCTCTAATGCATTGAATAGCCACTTGCTTTATGATTAAATTAATGGTATTGCTTTGCTCTCATGCCTGTCCTTTATTTTAAATTACTCATGAAGATCGCTGCATTGTTGTGCTTCCTTTTGTTTCTCTTTTCAGTTTTAATGCTAGATCTGTGCTCTCCCTCATATAACTTGCTGGAAAGTTACTCTCACAATTTGACACTTTATCATGTTCCAAGATCTTAAAGGAGCAAACTCCCAGTACTTCTAAAATTTATTCTGGAATTGAATGCCCGTTCAGTCACATGCTTCTGAAAATACTACTCAAAGTAAACAAACATTGCAGATGCATGTGGTTGAAATGTGCACAGGTGGACAGCTCTAAAATGCTAGTAAATTGTACTTGTTTGGACTTAAATTTTGCTGTAGATTGTTACATTAAGGTAAAGAAATGACAGCTTGGCATTTATCTTTTTGTCTGAAGAGAGTAGTGTTATGCTTGTATTTTCTGAAAGTATATTCTTTAGTTTGATTTTAAGATTTTGATTGCAGAAGATAATACTGATAAACACACAAAATGGAATGTGGCTGGAAGAAGAAACGCTGCTTTCAGTCTTCATGTTTAGTACAATTCAAGTCAATACGTTGCCATTTGCACACTGTTTTTCTTGGTTCCTCTGTGTATCAATTCCATCTTTGTATTTGTTGATGATGAATTTTTCTTCAAGTTCTAGTTCTTTGGAATTGTATTTTAACTGTGTTATTGCTTATGGCTGTTACCTGCTGTTCTGTTTGTGCAATCCAACAGTTGTTGTTGTTGGTGGTTGTTGTTGTTGTTGTCGAAGAGCAGGGATTGCAGGTAATTTCATTTATCCAGTCTTTGCCATATTGTGGCTGTTCCTGTAGTCATTTGCCTTGTATTGGTTCCAGGGAAGCTGCCAGAGAATGTCGCAGAAAGAAGAAAGAATATGTCAAATGTCTTGAAAATCGTGTGGCTGTGCTTGAAAACCAAAACAAGACTCTCATTGAGGAACTCAAGGCCCTCAAAGATCTTTATTGTCATAAAGCAGAATAACTGTCTTTCATTTGGACCTCGTTTATTATGAACTTTAATCAAGGCATGAGAGGAAGCAATTCTACAGATTGCCATATGAACATGAGAAAGAGACACTTGAGGCCCTTGTGGAACCCAGTTTTGCTTAGTGTTTTCAGACTGATTTGGGAGAAATTCCAAAATTCGGAATTCTGCCATAGTGTCCGTAATCTGCTGAGCTTTCTAATGGCATGCAAATGGCTTTTTTTGGTTGCACTTTTTACTTCTGCTTTTTGCAGGGAAGCTGCTAAAGAATGTCGACGTCGGAAGAAAGAATACATAAAATGTCTGGAGAGTCGTGTTGCAGTGCTAGAAGTTCAGAACAAGAAACTTATGGAGGAGCTTGAATCCCTAAAAGACATTTGCTCTTCCAAAACAGATTAGTAAACATATTTATTATACTGTGAACTGACTAAAATATGACCAGTTGCTTTATAAGATAATACATAGCCAACATGAATTATGGCTTTCTTTTTGTGTCATTTATATTATATTCCAACTCCTAACATTCCTGAATGCTTTCCTGCTTTTTGTCAATTCATAGCTCTAATTTCAGGTTTTTCATGTTCCTCCCTTCCATCTCCCAAGGAGCCAAATGTTAAAGAAATGTAAGAAAGTAAAAAAGCGCATAATTTTTAAGAGCTGTTTCTTTGCCATATATTTACATACTACTTTTTACATGTTAACTGAGTGACCTGCACATAGAAAATAATGTACTATTATTTTAGATGATTCGTGAAGATAACGCATCCAGTAATACAAAGAAAATCAAACAACCCACGGTATCTCAGGAAAGAGTTTATAAAAGAATGTTATGATTACATATATGTACTAGCATACTAGTCTACAGATGATTTTATGGCATATTTTTATATTAGTTGCTTTGTGGAAAAAGTATTGTATTGCTGTCACTGAGTGCCATGGTTAAAGATAGTTTTTAATAGAACCATGTTGTTTAACCTGTGTAGTGTCTCATTTCCTTTAAACACCTGGTTATTGAAGATACTTTTAAAACCCATGAGTATCCAGAAGAGGTTAAAGGAAAGGAGTATACCTGATCTCACTGACGTGATGTTAAGTATAGTGTAAATACCAGAAAGAAGCTGTCTGTTGTAGGGCTGCTCTTTACTTAAATTTCTTTTAGTATATAGGCTGTTTGATTTGTTAGGGTCTGAATATCAAAATTCAGTATTGAATTCTAAATACTTTATATTCTAGATTCTGGCCAGTTGTAGACAGTTGCCTATAGCAAAGGCTTGATGGTATAGTTCTTTTTACACTTTCTGCAAAATGCTGAGAGGAAGTAAAGATGACTTAAAGAGGAAGGCTTTCTAATAAACAGTAACTATCTGCTGATTCATGGGGTTCCATGGGGTGCCTGTAGGTGAGAGCTGAAGATCTTTAAAATAAACCCTTGCTTAAACCAAATTACAGTTCTGGTGAATGAAATACACGCCAACTTTCCATTGTGCTTTGAAAGAAAACAGTGCTTATGCAGAATTGCTTCTGGGTATTCCTTTAATTCAGGAATGATCTAATTGTTTGTTGGCCAGTACAGTCTATGAGCAAAGTATTTGGGAGCTTTGCTGGAATTAGCAGCATCATTCCCTTACTGATGTGGTAGGAAAAAAGGCTTAGTTCCTACTTAATCGGGTTCTCGGGGGGGGGGGGGGGGAAGTATGTGTGTATGGAGTGGGGGGAGGGATGGGATCATATAACTGAAGTCACTGAGACTTCCTCACTTAATTTAAACTGAATTCACATTTAACCCAATCTTTACTCTGACACCAGTGGGGTAGGGTGTGTGTATATATATATTTTTTTTTACTTTAAAAAAAAAATTATTATTTAATTTGTCTGTTTGTTTTGCTTTCCCAAATTACTTGAAATACGTGGAATAACTTTCTCGAATCTTTCTGAAAATCCCACTAGGTACCTACGTGAGACCATTTGCAGAAACCACTTCCCACAGCCCCATCAGTTGATTTAAAAGGAAACAGGCTGCCTTTTGGACCCACAGGCTCTGCTGCAGGCCTGGAACAAAAGTAAAGTCAACTCTGAAATATCTGCATCACTGTGAAAATACATCTTAAGTGTTAAAGTCAGCAGAAGTCAAAGTTTCTATTAAAGTTGGACAAGTACAGTCTGCAGCCTCTAGACAGCAACAAGTGTCCAGCAAATTGTTTGTTGTGGCTCTGTCACCAGAATCTGTTTTTATTTTTTTGTTACAGGTAGGCATTGCATCTGACTCAAGGGATTTTGAAACTTAAGAGGAAGAAACTTGGGCATGTAGTACATGTCTCCACAGTAAAAGCGTTTCTTTATCTTCACAATAGTATTTGGTATTAACTGTAGTTAGAAATTTTATAGGAGAAATCCTTGTCTATTCCACGTCTGTGTTGTCAACAGTCATTCCCTTGCTAATTCTTTTAAAGCATTTGATTAATGTTTATTTTTTATTTAAATATTTACTTGAGTGTGGGTGGTGCTTTGTTAATAATGAGAGCTAACTGCTCTTGGTCATTCTGGAAAACTCCCATTTGATTTATCTATCTACACGAGGGAAAAGTATCCTGCTTCAGAAAAGCCAACTGCACAGAACCTGGCTCATTTAGATAAGACTAGGGAAAAAAAATAAAGTTTATGATGTACATAATTCTTCCATGCTCAGTAATTCAGTTTGGTATAGTATTAATTTGACAGAATTAGCCACAGACATTTCTGTATTTTAAAGTAAAAATGAGTTTGTTGGTGAATAAGAACATTTAAAATTAAAGTCAGTAAATTAGAACGAAGATGTGTCTTATGAGGGAAATAACTTATTTGAAAATGAGCAAAGGAAGATCTGCACGTATGCCAAGAATCTGTTATCCAATTGCTACTGCAGAAATTACTACATAAAACAACAAATCTAGTAGCGAGTTGGTTTGACAGATGTGCATTGAAAACTTTGTGAGAGAATTCCCCGAGAGTAAAAGAAGATTAGAAGGAAAAGTCAGTGTACCACCAGGGATTGTCAGAGAAATAATACCAAAATGCTTAAGTGAGATGGGACTGCAGGAGCCTGGGTCACTGTATATCAGTATATCAGAAGATTAAAGCAATAAATAGGGTATATGCTAGGATACACAAATTAGTTTAGATTATAAAGGAAAATAAATCATACTAAGTCTTCCTTCAGTTTGTTTCCTCTTTTAAGGGTCAATGTAGCCCTCAAGTTTTAGATCGGTGTGGGACTCATTTCGTTCAACATCAGTGTCATGTTTCTGAAGGTATATCAGCACTGGAATCCAAAGTAGATGCACATGTGCTATGAATGAGAATTTTCCTTTTGACTTGCTGTCCACCAAGCTCGCATTTGTGCGTGTAAGTCCTGTGCTTGCTAGTGCTCCTCTCTCAGGGCAGAAAAGGTGAAATTGTTGCTTACTCTTCATGAAACAAATTGAAGTTTGACTGGGGGCTGAATCTGTAACTGCTAAAGTTCTTGTGAGGTGACACTAACACATTTTGTAAGTTGTGCTGCCTAACATTCTGGGCAAAACTGCTTGTGTTTGTAGAATGGCACCCGCTTTTTGGATACCAGGTCAAGAAAAGGTCAGTTTGTATTGGTTGCATTGAACTTCTTAGAGTAAATCTTAATCTAAATCAGTTACTGTTATTTTTACTGAGGATATATTTTGATGGGAGAAACTACTTTCTGGATTTTATCTGTCTCTTCACTTTGTGACCAGTTTTGGTTTACCAAAAGGCCAAACAATCTTGTTGCAGAGAATTACCATGTGGATCAGACGCTGAGCTCAAAGTATTTCCTTCAGTGACAATGGCTGGAAAAACTGTCCCTTTGACTTTATTCATGTCTCCTTCTTTGTGATATAGATATGATAGATCTATCCTTTTTCCTAGAAGTACCATCATCTAAAATCGTACAGTGCAAGTGTGCAAACTGTTGGGTTTTGTGCAAGGTTTGTGATGTGGCTGTCAATCACATACCCAAGGAAACACAGTACCAGTGCCTGTTGTGGTTCATGTGTGTACTGGGACTTGCACTCTGTCCTCATTTTGCTGCTTCAGTTCCCAGTTGAATCAGGCTCTGGGTTCAGTATTCTTTCCAAAGAACTTCTCAACCACAAGATTAAAACCCACCTTCTGTCTTGTTGCATGTGTGTGGTGGTTTAATGCCTTTTCCCACATTTTGATGCTGTTTCTGCTCTCAGAGGCTGCTAAGAATCTGCAAATAGCAACTGAAGAGGTGTTCAGTCTTAATTATCTTACTCAATCACAGTCTCGTTTGACAAGGCTGGGAAGCACCTACTTCTCTGTTAAAAACATAGCTCTGAGCACTGGATACCAGTATAATTTCCAGAGGAATCTGATTCCAGTTCAGATTTGTGAAGCAGAGTCCCTGGTATGGTTCAGGAGAAAGGCCTTTTGAACACAGTATTATTCTTAATACAGAAACATTAAATGAATCTGAGTTTGTTTACTACTAAAGAATCTGAGCACTACCCAAGCTTTGATTTATCAGAGCCAGGACTTTTTTTTTTTTTTTCAGTACCAGGAAAGAAAAGACTGAAATTCTTGTGATTTTCATTCTGTAAGAAAACTGCATCCCTGCGTTATCACTTGCTGAAGCCATGCAGCTGTTTGCAGATTTCTTTGTGATAGATAGCTGGAGGATTTGCTTTTACTTTATAGAAAGCTATATCCAAGACTGCATGGATGTTGTTTTGTTTTTCAAATAGAATTTCACAGAGCTCAGGGGAAATGGTCTCTTGAAAAATGTCTTCAACATCCTAGAGTTGTGGGTGATGAGGAATGTAATAGTCAGCTTCCTCTTAAGGTACAGCTTTGAGTCATAGCTGTTTTCTTCCCCATCTAAATGGAGTGGGGAGCAGAGTTATAAAGAGAAGCCTCTAGGTTATCTGAGCAGAGCTGTCTGTTGACTGTGTTAAACAGCCTCAGCTGTTGTGATCTGGAAAAAAGGGATTAAAATAAGTATATTGTGTGAGTAGGTGTGGGTTTGGCTTCTTTGGTGGTTTGTTTGGTTGTTTGGTTTGGTTGTTGGGTTTTTTGGGGGGAGTGGGAGGTGTGATTATCACTTTCCATGGATTTTTCTGTTTGCAAGAATAATTGTAGCATTTTCTGCCTGCACTGATGGAGTCCTAAGGAATGCAAGCTCTCTTGTGTCTCACTTGTTCTCCAGGGTTTTCCTTTCCTTGTCAAACATAATCGCTTATGTAGTACCATTCTCCTGCAGACATCAGTGTAGTAGCTAAATCCACTGTGATCTTTTTCTGAATGAAGTATCACTTAAAAGAAGACAAAAGGATCTGCTCAGCTTCTGGTTTGGATTGTCTCATTTTGCCCACTTTTCTGTTTAAAATCCACTTGGTGTTCATGTATGTGGGGGTGTACATGACAGAAATGTATTGAATGCTGAGCAGTTCAGCAGCTGATAGAAGTTGCTGCATTTTGATTGTTAGCATTTTTGTATAAAATATTGTCTTATGGGGAGAGGGTTTAATTTGGTTGGGGATTATTTTTTTTAAGGCACTATGAGGCTCTTCTGGATGAGGGATAACAATAATTTCATTATTCCAGCAAAAACTATGTTAATTCTAATATTTGCTTTATTTAAACACTGAGGAAAATGAGAGCAGTTTGATAGTATCTCATGCAGACTGGCAATGGCAGGTAGCAAAAATCAGTTAATTCTTCTTCTGTCTCTAATGAATCTTTTTCAGTTCATTTTCTCAGGTTTCTGGGTGTTTTCCTACTGCAGAGGTAGAGCTTTCTTCTTGCAAATTGCTTGGTAGACATAGTTATGAAGCAGAAGCTGTGGATATGCACAAAGTCTCAAAGAGAAAGAGGGTAATAGGAGAGTTGAATGCAGTGTGTAGACTAAGAAAAAAAACAACTTCATTGTATTCTGCATGACTTGAATGGAAAAAACAGCGAA